CCAAAAATTATGTTACAATATTAAGGCATCGTTTTAAACAAATACTCTTTCGAATAAGAAAATCAAAAATTAAGCTGTAGCTGGTCGTCCTTAGAAACGAACCGGAAACAATTGAAAATGTGAAAGTGAAAGAAAAAACAGTGACTTAAATAATTTATAATCAATTACAATCAAATTTATAATCATAGGTACGGAATGAAAGAGACTATTCCCCTTAGAAGTATAATTAAGCTGCACATCATGAAAATGGAGGATAAACAAACTAAAAGAAAACATGATGGAATATACATACATTTTAATGCAAAAAGAAGTAATAGTAATTGATGTGCAATTAGAGACATATATAACATTTTTGAGTATCTTGTGCAATGAAGCAATTTCATGTATTCGTATTTATGATGTTAAATCAAACAAAAAAAACAGCAATATGAAAAAATTCATGTAGGAGCAGTAGTCCAGTGGTAGGACGCGCGCTTAGGGATCGAGAGGTCCCGGGTTCGAACCCCACCAGGGCACTGCTAATTTCCTTGAGCAAGAAATTTACCTGCGATTGCTTCACTTCACCCAGGTGTAAATGGGTACCTGCGAGGGTGGTATAATTCCGTTGCGCCAAGTGTCGGCTGCACTGAGCGGAGTTAAAAGACTCCCCAGGGAGATTGATAGATAGATACGAGTAGCCCGATGACCAGGGGTAATAGCTGTAAAGTCGGTGAACGTGCGTAAGCATGAAACTTAGACTATAAAATGCAATTACTTTACTTACTTACTATACATGCAGTAGGAAATATTCACAAGCAAATCATTATAATAAGAATGAAATCAACATACATGGATTAGTAACATTCATATAAAAACATGTTATCAATACTTTTGATTATTCTCCTAAATACATTCAACGTATCAGCGTGTTGATGTCGGCTTGTGTAAAAGTTGTTTCATTTCATATAGCATTCTTGGACTAGCCTCGTGACACGTGGAAGTCCACGATCTGCTATAGGCCTGTTGCTTGAAAACGTTGCTTAAAGTGTAGAATAGCTCGAGTATAACATCCGATATTAATAGCGACGGCATTCGTCGTTATACGCAAATGGTACGTTCGTAAACTTTTGCGGAATTTGAGGCAAACTAAAAATAATTAAAAATAAATTAAACGTATTTTCTTAATGCAATGGAAGTCCATAGAATGACACTGAAAAGTTTCATAAAATATACATGCATCTACTGATCCGTGTGTGCACATGAAAATCGCGTTCAGCAGGTTAAAGTCACGGTAAAATTTGTTATATCGGACACATAATCGATCACCCGAATATATGTAACTAATTTGACTTTTTGATATTATAATAAATATATCTTTACTTAAACACGTGGACTTTTTTTCCGGTATATATTTTTACCGGTGTTCAATTCTGCGAACCATACTGTATATTTTTAAGCCTCAGTTATACATGATTAATTTATAACTGTTTTATTTACATTTGCACCCGCGTAGCAAATGGCTTTTTGTAAACAATTTGTATAGCTGTTTTTGTTTTTTTTAAATTCTTGTTGGTAATCGTATAAATTTTTCTTTTGCTATTATTGAATTATTAAGTACGTTCACTTACCATGATAAAGGTATTTGTTTCATGAAGATATAAACATGTACCTTTTCATATTTATAAGAGGTACTGTTTTCTCCGATAACATACTCTTAAATATGACTTGCGGGGACATAAATTTGGACCCGGATAAAGTCTATAATTATCTTTTGTATTAAATGTATGCAAGGGAAATATTGTTAAGTATCATTTAGTTTGGTTGAACGGGGCGACATTGACACATTACTGATTATATTGCACCGAACACTGTAATAAGTAAGGTGCAAGTGAGTAAGTGCAGTCTTTAAATATTTTTACGTCCTTTAAGTAATCGATCAGGATTTTAAAAAGAACTGAGGAAAATGTTCTCGTTGTGAATTGACCCGATTGTATATATCTCAAACATGTGGAAGATCATAGCAAACAAGCAAGAAAAATGTGACAGTCAAATATTGCAAACATTGCAAGTCATAAAAATAGAGCATCATCTCCTGTTCAAAGGTATGAATTTGTAAATCTATAATGTCAACGTCTACGTCTAAGAAGAACAGCTTGATCGTGACGGTTCAGAAGAGAAAAATTAACTCATTCAGGGTTAAGAATTACTATTTATTAACTATAAAGCTACTGGTTGAGTATTTAAGGGATCTTTAGCCAACACGTGATCTTTGCTATTTCCCTTAATCATACATTGCCCGAAATCCAACATAATTTGACTAATTGAGCTTAACAATATCATGAAATGGCAACATTAGTTAATCATTTTTTATCATTATATTATCGGACATTCTATTTAAAATTAGTGACTCCGAAATAAATTACAAATTTATGTCCATTATGCTATTAAACATATGACATCAGCAAAGACACTATAAAACTATAAGTATAATTAGACAAATTATTATAAATCTTCAGAAATGTGTTGAATGAGGTGTGATAATATGCCTGTATAAGTGTGTGTGCTTTCGTTCAGTTTAGCAGTATGATCAGTTATCATTAAATTTAATTTTTTCAACTCAACTCAACTCTTTTATTTCATGATTAAAGGCCTCCGGCCCAAAATATATATCTGATAATCAAGCATTTGTAATAGGTTATGTCCATATATCAACAATATTCATGACATTGTCTACTAACTTCAATATAATAGCAGTATTCAAGATATTTGTAATAACTTCAATATAATAGCTGTATTCAGTATTCATGACATTGTCTACTAACTTCAATATAATAGCAGTATTCAAGATATTTCTAATAACTTCAATATAATAGCTGTATTCAGTATTCATGACATTGTCTACTAACTTCAATATAATAGCAGTATTCAAGATATTTCTAATAACTTCAATATAATAGCTGTATTCAGTATTCATGACGTTGTCTACTAACTTCAAAATAAAAGGAGCATTTGTGACATTGTCTATTAACTTCAATAAAAAATGCAGTATTCATGACATTGTCTATTAACTTCAATATAACAGCAGTATTTATGATGACATTTTCTACTTACTTAAATATAAAAGCAGTACTCATGACATTGTTTACTAACTACAATATAACAGAAGTATTCATGACATTGTCTATTAACTTCAATACAATAGCAGTATTCATTACATTGTCTCCTAACTTCAATATAATAGCAGTATTTATGACATTGTCTACTAACTTCAATATACATGATATAATAGCAGTATTCATGAAATTGTCTACAAACTTCAATATAATAACAGTATTCATGGCATTGTCAATAGCAGTATTCAAGGCATTGTCAATAGCAGTATTCATTACATTGTCTTTTAACTTCAATGCAATAGCAGTATTCATTACATTGTCTATTAACTTCAATATAATAGCAGTATTCATGGCATTGTCAATAGCAGTATTCTAAATTTTCCCCCTGCCATTGGAAAAATAGGGGGAAGTTCTCAAAAATAGGGGTGAATCCCCCACCCCTCCTAGAATAGACACTGTGTTATAGCAGTATTCATGACATTGTCTATTTACGTCAATATAAAAGGAGTATTCATGACATTGTCTATTAACTTCAATATTATAGCAGTGTTCACGACATTGTCTTTTAACTTCAAAAGAATAGCAGTATTCATGGCATTGCCTCAAAAGTTCAATATAATAGCAGTATTTATAACATTGTCTACTAACTTAAACATAATAGCAGTATTCATGATATTATCTACAAACTTCAATACAATTGCAGTTTTCAGTTTTAATGACATTTTCTACTAACTTCAATATAATAGCAGTATTCATGACATTGTTTATTCTTTCCAATATAATAGCAGTATTTATGACATTGTATATTAAATTCAATATAATAGCAGTATTCATGACATTGTCTATTAACTTAAATATAATAGGAGTATTTATGACATTGTCTTCTAACGTCAACAAAATAACTCTTACAGTGTTCATGACATTGTCTTTTTACTTCAATATAAAAGCAGTATTCATGACATTGTCTATTAACTTCAATGTAATAGCAGTATTCATGACATTGTGTATTAAGTTTAAACTTCAATATAATAGCAGTATTGATTTATGACATTGTCTATCAGTTTCAATATAATACCATTATTTATGACATTGTATATTAACTTCAACATAATAGCAGTATTTATGACATTATTATTACAATACTATACTATACTATACTAAACTATACTAAACTATACTATACTATACTATACTATACTATACTATACTATACTATACTATACTATACTATACTATACTATACTATACCATACCATACCATACCATACCATACCATACCATACCATACCATACCATACCATACCATACCATACCAAACCATACCATACCATACCATACCATACCATACCAACTATGCTATGCTATCTTATGCTATGCTAAACTATACTATACTATACTATACCATAGTATACTATACTATACTATACCATACCGTACCATACCATACCATACCATACCAACTATACTATACCATACCATAACATACCTACTATACCATACCATACCATACCATACCATCCAATATCATACCATACCATACCATACCATACCATACTATACTTTATTATTTAACTGATTTTCTTTTCACTTTAATCAATAGTTATTTTTTTTAGAATCGTTTTGTTCCTTCTTGAAAATTAAATTATTTTACATTACGCACAATAATATTGGCTAAGTTTTTCTCATATATTCCTTGATTATAATAAGTATTTTACTAGGATATAGGTACTTTAAGCTATTTTTATAAGAATATTGTATGTAGGTAAAACTGCATTTAACTTTTTTGTTATATAACACCGACTTATGATGATAGATGCACTATGCATATATCCAATTTAATGTATGACTTTATTCGTTATGATGTATTTAGTTATTGTCAGGCTTTTCATCTGTTTATTTGATTTTAAGATGGACCATACCAGTCATCAACTCAATTATCACCATCAACTCAAAATTACACCAAAAATGAGGGACAGAGTCTAAATGATATCACGTGTTCTGCTGAGTGCTATCCTGATTGCACATACACATGGAGAAAGACAAGACAAGAGCAGACAACTACTGTCAGTAGTACAAGTGTTTTATCTATTGGGCAACTACACCGTGAAGAGGCTGCATTGTACACTTGTTCAGCTAAAAATCCTGAAAGGAGTTCATCTCCTTCAACAACAATACAAACTCTTGTCAATGTTAGATGTAAATATATTATCAACATGAATTTTATTATATATTATCTCTAAGTTTATAACAGAAATACTTTCTTTAGATACTAAAATGCGTTAATATATAAATATGTTTATGATTCATCGTACCTCGAATTTTGAAAAAAAATGTGTGCATTGTTTGTTTAACGAACGATTCCGTGTAACAGATTTTGATATACAATTACGGATTTCAATTAGAGTATTTAGTATTAGTTTTGAATATCTTATAACCTTGTAAAAAGGTTTTAGACATTTACGAGGGTAAATCATTTTATTACATGCTTTTCGGTGGTTTATAGAAATATATCAGTGATATAAAACTGGTAATTCCACTGTTTGAAACAGTGAAATTACCACTTTGATAATTTCACAGTTTTGAATTTAAGCCCCTTACGTTGTTTCAGTAAAATACCAGCGTGCACAGTACTGGGAACCAACTTAATGACGTGACGTCGTAAATGACGTCATATTGTATTATTATTTGGCGCGCTTTTCATTCAGTATTAGGTTTAATGTCTTTTTAAAACGTTTGTTTGCATACTATTAAAAGAAAATTTGTTTAGTTTAATGTAAAATCGAAATATATTTCACCTTGTGAACACCAAAAGTTCATATTTCACTCGTGCCTGCGCCACTAAACAAATATCCTCAATTTAATGCTTTTAGATGGACCAAATACAGTCAGCTTGAACGTAACATCACCATATGATGTGTTAGAAGAAAAATCTCTGATTATACAATGTAAGGCAGAATGTTATCCTGGATGCTCCTACGCATGGCTTAATGTTACAAGTGGTTTAGTGATGAATACAACAGGTGCTGTAATGTATATCGGAACAGTAAACAAGTATATGACAGGAGATTATAAATGCGAAGCTAAAAATAATGATGCTTCAATCTATGTGAAAGCTGCAGATATTGTTGTAACAATTAATATAATAGGTAAAATTATTATGTTTCGGTTTCTTGATATTTATTTTAAATGTAATTATAAAGGTATAAACTCATTTAATTAACACATGTAAAAAGGTTAAAAAAGTTAAACAACATAAACAATTGCATAACAAATTCTTTTTAAACATTAGATGTGATAATCATGAATATTGCAATATATGGAAATGTTAATATAACTTAATTTTGTGAATTCATTTTAGAACAAACGTTTTTAAAATGGTTCTATATTGGAAGTCATGTCAATACGACAGTTGTTACCGTGGACGAGCTGGAATTTAACATAATATTTACATGTACAGTCAGTGGGGATCCTGCTGAAAACATCAAAATAACTCATCATGGACAAATCTTACAAGAGAAACAAAATGCCAGCTCTTTGAAATTTATCCACAAGACAGTGAATTGTTATGATAGCGGTGAATATAAATGTGAAGTGAGAAATAGGAACATGAATACATCAAGCGGAAATATATCAATGTTTGTTAACTGTAAGTCTATATTTAATAGATGTATTTGGTATAATGTCAAATGAATTGAAATAATTTCTTTACCACATAAACATTGTTACGTCATTACTTTATGACACTTAATTTAATCTGTCCAGCATTATAACTGTAACTCTGATTTGCTTTTATTTCATTTTTATACTTTAAACATTTTTTCTGGGTACACATAAGGTGTCAATATAAAACTTAGTAGGTAGATAGATCTTATTTATTGACGCGCAGTGCATAAGAACCGTAACGCTGCCTTGCCTAAATTTGGAGTTGTCTTTTTTAACCTTTGAACTTTGTCCTGGACATTCTAAAACTACAAGATGTATCAACAAGAAACTAAATCTAAGTGTTTTAAACCTATTCGTGGAGCATCCCCCGTCCGACTTACCCTTGTTAAGCTGTGTGTCTATTTCTTAACAACTTTTGAAAATTATAAGTTTTATTAACATTTCAACAATTTATTTTGATAATATAGGTTCACCACGCCCAGTACGGAAAATTCAAGAAAAGCTCACAGTTCCACTGGACGCACCTGTCACATTGACATTTCAGGCTCTTGCGCATCCAGAGCCTGGTCCAAAAGGGTTTGCTTGGTACAATTTTAGAGATACAAGATGGTTACAAATTTTAACAAATGAAGATTTTCAAATTTCGTCTTCGGGGTTAGAGACCAATCTCACAATATTTAGCGTTTCTCAGAATGATTACGGACAATATCGTGTTACTACAATAAACAGTATTGGGACTTATAATCAGTATTTTTCTCTCTTACAACAAGGTAAGTTTTTTAAAAACTCTGATGGTATTATATTTGAAAAATGTTTGAACAGGCAACACTCGACACTGCTTATTTATATTTAAATCGTATGTCCTAGCCATTTAAATGATATAAATAGATACATCAAAATGAAATTGGATTTTATTGAAAAACAATATTATAACTCTCAACAATATATGCTTACTGCCATATTTTTAACCATTGACATAGAAAATCTAAAATTTGTCGAAACATAGAGGAACACATACATGTATGAATGTTTGAAGACTGTTTACAAAGAAGACACTGCAGATTCATATAAAGTAAAATATTAATACAATTGGTGAAGCAATCAATTGGCAAATAAATGCAATGAATAGAAAAACTGTTTCTGGAAAGTACGTGTAAGTCTGAAATTGATATGTTGCAAATGAAAAATGTTGGAAATAAGATCATAAAATGTAGAGCGATATAAAAAGAGAACTGAAACCAGTATCACTATAGTTAAACATTTGACGAGATGTATGTGTTTTCTTTATTCGATATTAAGAAGTTAAGCTATTACACACGTGTCAAATGACAAGACAAATACAAAAAAAAACCAGAACAGCTACAAACACACTGGAAATCATAATTACGGTTTTAACTCGTTCAGTATGTAATAATCTGTTGCCCAAACGTAATTTACAAACGTACTGAACCATTGCAGAACCGGCTTCACAACAAGTAAGAAAAGAGGATTGTAAAGATGGTGATACACTGACAATTGGTATAGTTTTAGGAACAGTTTCTCTTATCCTCACAATTTACGCAACTTCAATAACCGTTCTATGGAAACGGAATGTCTCCTTCAGTAAAAATCGAAGTAGCACTTTGATGATGAAAAATATAGGTAAGCAACATGTATAACAAATAACTATGCGGTATTAATTGAACATTTACAATATATAGATAATATTCCAGTTTTTCCTATAAATACATGATTTATTTTCGTCGAGTGGTATGAAAATAAATATTTCATGAGTGGCGTTATGACAAGTTGAACATAAATCTTGTATTCAGAGAAAAAAGAAATTCTGTTTATAATATACATAATTCTATTTGATATTACACTATGAAAGTATTCTCCTTACATTTTGTGTATTGGCTGAATTTAGAAAAAGTAGTCCGGCAAGACACCAGTGAGAATACAGAAAATATGATTTTACAATCAAATACGGAATATGAAAATACGAATTTTTTATTTCACCAATATGACGTGATGTCATGTGTACGATATATATACATAGCGTTAAAATAGTGATAAACAGAATCCCTAAAGAAAGCCCAACACGGCAAAATTGTAAAATTGCAAATGCTACTGTTACACTTTAGGCATGTCATTGAAAAAATACACTTTTTTAGCAATTTGTCATTCTTATTTTATATATGTGATATGTGCAGCCTGACTGGGACTCGAACCCGGGACCCTCGGAATACCGTACCGCGGCTCTACCGACTGAGCTATCCGGCCGCTTACACATCTTCCCCCCTAAATAGTGAACAGTTCTGAACCGTGACATACTCCCCTGCTATATTGAAATTCGTCCTCGAGTTTCACAGAGTTACAGAGCAATGTAAATGAAACTCTGAGCTATATCAGTCACGGCCCAAGTTGGGCGCCAAATGTCACAGGGTGAGAAAATTGTGCAGCCTGACCGGGACTCGAACCCGGGACCCTCGGAATACCGTACCGAGGCTCTGCCGACTGAGCTATCTTGCCGCTTACACATCTTCTCCCTTAAATAATGAACAGTTTTGAACCGCGACAAATAGCATAGTATATTCGTGTAGGTTTAATACTTAATTTATTGAATTCGTTGAATAAACAATATAATGCTCGCCAGAGGCTCGCATACTATGATTTTATTCAACTCCTTCAATAACTTTAGTTAAAATCTACATTCATTCAATATCCACTATATATAGCTGATAGATGAAACTATATGATAAAACTTAAAAACGCTACTTTTTATACCCCTGGGTATATAGGAGTCACCCGGTGGTTGGTCGGTCGGTCCAGCGGTTCGTTGCATTTTCCTTGTCCGGAGCATAACTTAAAGACTAAAAGTTGAGATTCAATACAACTCAATACGACTCGAACCCGGAACCCTCGGAATACCGTACCGCGGCTCTACAGACTGAGGCTATCCGGGCCGCTTACACATCTTCTCCCCTAAATAGTGAACAGTTCTGAACCGTGACATACTCCCTGCTATAATTGAAATTCGTCCTCGAATTTCACAGAGTTACAGATCAATGTAAATGAAACTCTGAGCTATATCAGTCACGGCCCAAGTTGGCGCACAAATGTCACAGGGTGAGAAAAATGTGCAGCCTGACCGGGACTCGAACCGGGACCCTCGGAATAACCGTACCGAGGCTCTACCGACTGAGCTATCTTGCCGCTTACACATCTTCTCCCCTAAATAGTGAACAGTTCTGAACCGTGACAAATAGCATAGTATATTCGTGTAGGTTTAATACTTAATTTATTGAATTCGTTGAATAAACAATATTATGCTCGCCAGAGGCTCGCATACTATGATTTTATTCAACTCCTTCAATAAATTTAGTATAAAATCTACATTCATTCAATATTCACTATATATAGCTGATAGATGAAACTATATGATAAAACTTAAAAACGCTACTTTTTATACCCCTGGGTATATAGGAGTCACCCGGTGGTTGGTCGGTCGGTCCAGCAGTTCGTTGCATTTTCCTTGTCCGGAGCATAACTTAAAGACTAAAAGTTGAAGTTTGGAAACTTATTAACTCTATATGTGGTCAGAGAAGGACTGTAAATAATTCAATTACTCTACAAGAATGGCAATCCTATTTTGAAGAATTATTTTGTTCACATACAGTACCATTGGACGAAAGTGCAAGGAATGAACCATTTACAAGGTATTGAATTAGATCAAACTGAAAAAACTCTATCTTTAACTCTGAAATAACAGAGGAAGAAATTTATAGGGCTGTAAAATCCCTCAAAGGTGGTAAAGCGGGGGAGAAGATGGAATAATCCCAGAATTTTTTATCATTGGAATTGATATGTTTATACACATACTTACTCGACTATTCAACAGACTGTTTTGATACAGGGTGAATTCCCAGTATATGGAACCATGCTACTATTGTTACACTGTATAAGAAAGGGGACGTCAATGACCCTGGAAATTATAGGGGAATATCATTACTGGACATATGTGGTAAAATCTATACAAGTGTGCTCACCAGAAAGAATTAACTTCTACGTAAATGCATACGAAAAATTCAGGAGCCACAGTCAGGATTCAGAGAGGGTTATTCAACTACAGACAATGCATTTGTTCTCCAATCCATTATTTCCAAACAGATGTCAAGGCCATGTGGTCGGCTATATGTGGCATTCGTAGACTTTAAGAAAATGTTTTGACTTAATCAGACGTGATAAATTGTGGGGCTGCCTGTACTAATAATGGGTTTAGTTGCAAACTGCTGCAGGCTATGTCTGGGATGTATAAGTCTGTTAAAGCCCGAGTAAGAACAACTGATGGTTTATCGGAACCATTCAACTGCCCAGTGGGCCTCAAACAAGGCTGTTTGGGGTCGCCAATTTTTTTCATAATTTTCATAAATGAGCTAGTAAAACTCTACGAAAGTTCTTCCACTCATGGAATACAGCTATTTCCAGACACATATGAAGTAAAATGTTTGTTGTTTGCTGATGATTTAGCTTTATCAGCTGACACTGTAGTAGGGCTACAAAGGCAACTAAATACGTTAAAGAATTTCTGTGACGATATGAGTGTTCAGGTCAATAAAGATAAGACTAAAATCATGGTTTTAAACATGGCGGTTGCCTATCACGTCATGAAAAATGGAATTTTGATGGTACCCTAATAGAAGTTGTTAAAAGTTTTTCTTATGTAGGAACTACATTCAGCTCTAACCTTTCTTTTTTCAAAGATGGCAAGTGAACAAGCAACGAAAGGCAAACGTGTACTCATTCACACATTATCGAAACTATATAACTATGGTCAGTTACCTAGACGTGTTTTCTTTAACATTTTGACACTAAAATAAGCCCAATTTTATTGTATGGTTCAGAAATTTGGGGCGTTCACCGCCAAACCTCAATAGAACTGATACATAACTATGCATGTAAACGATATATGTGTGTAAACAAAAACACTATAAATGCAGCTGTCCTTGGTGACTGCGGAAGACATCCTTTATATATTACAGCTGCAAAGCGAGTTTATTCGATACTGGTGCAAAATTGTGAAACTACCTGACAGTAGATTAGTAAAGAAATGTTATAATATGCTATTGTATCTATCAAATAATGGAAAGAAAAACTGGTTACAGATGTTAAAACATTATTATATTCAAAATGGTATGGGTTATGTTTGGGACAATCAATATGTGCAAAATGAGCATCTATTCATAAATCAGTTTGTAACTAGATTAAGAGATGAATATTTACAAAATTGGCATTTCTCTTATAAACGATTCTCATAAACTTGTCTTTATGCCATGTACAAACAAAAACTTTTCCCATGAACAGTATCTTGATGTATTAGATATACGTAAATTCCGTAGCGTCATGGCACGATTTCGTACGTCTGCACTTGACCTTGAAATTGAACGTGGTCGATACAATGGAGTAGAGAAGCATTTAAGAATATGTAAATTATGTCAAGTTGAGGTAGAAGATGAGTACCATTTCTTATTAAAATGTTCTAGACTTTCAAACATTCGAACACAATTTATTCCTAGAAAAGTTTTATGACAAACAATGTATTCAATCATTTGTTATTCTGATGAGTAGCAGAAACCACTCATTAATTAAAAATGTTGCTATGTATATTTATTATGCTCAATTAGAAAGAAAACGTATACTTGAACAACTTTAGATATATTCTCTGTATAAGAAAGTTACTGTATTGATATAACTATATATGCTCTTGTATCACAGTAAGCATTGTATTATATGTATTTATGTCATTTGTTGATCTTGGGCCGCTGGCCATATGTCAATAAACTTTTTGTCATTGTCATGTCATTGTCATTGTTGAAATTCAATACAACTTCAAACAATGGTCAAGAACATTAAGAAGAAATGCAGTGCACAAGAAACATAACTCTTCACTAATTACAGAGTTATTGTCCTTTGTTACTTTTCATTGTCCGGAGCATAGCTTGTAAACTACTGGTAGGAATTGAAAACAACTTCATACAATGGTCAGACAAATAAAGGAAAAGTGCAGTGCACAAGAACCATAATTCTATCTAAAGTAATTAAAGAGTTAGTGCCCTTTGTAATTTTTCCATTGCTTTCATTTGTTCGGACCATAACTTGAAGACTTATTTTTGGAATTCAAAACAACTTCATATAATGATCAAGCACATTGAGAGGATGTGCAGTACACTGGAATCATAACTCCATCTTGACTCATTACACAGTTATTGCCCTTTGTTACTTGTCCGGAGCATTACCTGAAAAGTATTGGATGGAATTCAAAACAACTTCATACAATGGTCAAGCATAGTAAGAAGAAGTACAGTGCAAAGGAATAATAACTCTATCCAGACTAATTATAGAGTTAATGCCTTTTGCTACTTTTCCATTGTTTATTTTTCTTGTCCAGAGCATAACTTGAAAACTACTGGTTGGAATTTATTACAATTTCATACACTGGTCAATGATATTGAGACGAAGCGCAGTGCACATAAACCATAACTCTTTCTTTACATATTTAAGAGTGTTTGCCCTTTGTTACTTTTTATTGCCCAATGCATACCTTGAAAACTAATGGTAACAACCGTAACTCAATCATTATTTTTTACAAAGTGTTTTGTTTCTAGTAACTTCCTCATTTCCGAAGCAGTCTTGCGGGGGTATTAATCACATTTAGTGATAGTCCTAGTTTCAATAGCTTTGTATAATTCTGTTGTGAATTATGTTGGATAAATTCGTTGTTGGAAGAGTCGTTGTTGCACGTTACTAAAATTGTGACTCAGGTCGCCATGTAAAACATCTGACTGCAACGGTTTGCCTGGTACCAAATTATCAAAAGAAAATGCGACATGGCATATCACTGGAACTTGAAAACCGACACTGAAAATGAAAAGTAGAGAAGGAAACGGGGAGCGCATACTTTTTTGATCTTTTTTTGTTCGGGCATTTACATTTGCAGAAGCCCTCGGGTCTTTGAAGTCCATCGTTCGTCCCGTCTTTAAGCACGTCCTCGTGCATATGCAAATGATAATGCTTAACAAAAGCATCGCCCTTTTATAATGCATAACATTTGTCGATATATCTATCGCTAGTCGCTTTTGTTTTTGTAAGATCTCTTTTTAATAATTAGTGTTTACTATAACAAGTGCTCAAACAAGTAGTGCATTTTATATCTATTAGATGAATATGAGTAACATTTCAAGTATGTTGAAATTATAGAACATAACCTTAATAGCATTTATTGCAAAATCTGTTTTATAGAAATTGTTTTGTATTTAAGGCATAAACAGAGGCAATGAATTACAGGGACAAACGTAAGTAGTTTTTTTTATTTTTCTTCTTTATTTATTTATTTATTTAATTCATTTTATTTATATATATATTAATTCATTTATTTATTATTTTAATAATTTATTTATTTTTCTATTACTTTGGTGAGAAAGTTTAGCTTATGTACTATAGATTGATAATGAAAATGTAAAACATTGTATAATAACGATAACAAATAAGATACATGCCTTTTTCATAATACATAGAAGACAATTCTTTAAATGTTTATACCAAATAAATCATTTGATTGATTAAAACTATTACACTTTAGTTTTGAAATGATTTAATAATATGCACCTTTTGTTGTATTTGTTTTGTGTTTTTTAACGTATATATGCCCCCTTCCTGTAGACAAATATTTTCCGGCATATTTTTTCATTTTCTAGAACATACGTCAATATGAACAGTTTCATCAAACGACCAGGACGTACAGCAACGCGGTTGAAAGTAAAAGCTACTTTTTGAAGACGATCCAAGTAAAACACAGTATACAGATCTGGATGACTTTTCACTTGGATAAAGGACAATAATGTGTACGCCGCTATCAAAAGAAATTGAATAATTAATTAAGAAGATGACTACCATGAGCTATTGTAGCTCTCGTCCAATTCCTTCCTACTGAAATTTTAAATTATTATCATGTATATATTACCTTGAAAAAAAATGTTTAAACCAAAAGAAATTGATACCATTACTATATAAAGCATAACTATTAACATTGCATTTATATGCATAGACTATGCATATGACATTCAAGACTGATATGCGATAGTTGTTGTTTTTTTGTATATTTGGAAATATTTAACACAGACGTGCTGTGATACATTATAACACAAATAGTGGATAATTCAGCTCAAATTGACAACAATAAATGACTTTTCTTATATTTTCATCTTATATTGACTAAATCCGTTGCTTTTAAAAAGTCGCAAGTCATGAGTTGTGATTTTTAGTTTAACTACGTCTAACATAGCGCACTAATAATAATGCTTATAGTTTTTCATAAAAATGATAATAAAAGTTGTATTATAACAATCAAAATTAGTGTTTGTAGAAAACAGAAAGTCATTATTTATATCTATACGCCAGATGGAATAATTGCGGTTAGTATTGATTAATATTGTGCAAGATTAAACGTTTTATATTTGTGGTTATTGCATTTGAAAAAATATCAACAATAAAAAAGTGTTTCTTGATAGGAAGAACAATGAGTTTCGATCCGATGATTTATTAGTATGAACGCTTACATTTTAGTAATGGATTGAAACATAAAAATTCCATTATCACTGAATTTATCATTTATTCAACTTACAATAACCAATTGAATATTTAATACCGTAATTACTCGAAAGTAAGAGACTATTTGATGCACCATTTTGGAAATTAGAAATGAAATAATTGATATTTAGGTATCGTTACTTTCCTAATTATCAATCGTCATACGAAAGTGACTGGAAATGTATTATCAAATAATAAAAATATTGTACCCGGGACAATATCAATTTTTGATATTATTCTTGATGTATATCCATCAGGCATTTTTTTCAACCGTCTAAATTGTTTCTAATGCAGGACCTTAATGAATATGAGGCATTGTTATTGTTACTGTAGCATTGGTGGATCGTAGTTTTGATACGCAGCGTATCAGAATCTTATCATGTACATATGAGTCTAATAACAGGTAAAATGTTAAACACGAAATTTTGTGGATTGAATTATTTTGTTTTCTTTTAACATAAGAAAATATTGAGATTTCTTTGAATAAGTTGTCAAAAAATTGTTACTGTTGCGCATGTCGAAGGAAAATGATTGTTTTTTTATTTAAAAATAAAACTTTAAAAACTAATATGGGACGTTTTAAACTGTCTTGTTCCTTTGTTGTTTGTTTGTGTTATTTGTGTAATGTAAAATCGTTGCCCTTCGATTAAGGATTCTGTAATAAAGGGACATTATCACACAGTTAAGGCATGGTCATACTGCAGGAAAAAAATTTGCCGGATCAGGATGTTTGAAATACATTTGGACGGGGGTTAAGCTCTTGGCTGGTAAACAAAGGGCTAATTTAACGTTTAATTCCCATTAGTGTACGTTTAATTGGGAGTAAAATAAAAGATTTATAATTTATGGCCAACGATATTTATTTGAAGGAAAGAAATGTTGAATATCACTTTTTTATGTTTTTTCTGTAAATACCCACGGGGAACATTAGGCGCCGTGTTAAAATGCGACAAAGCCCTCTGCATAAATCTTTAAAAATTAGTTTGATGCATAATTGTTTTTTGTTTTAATAAAATAAAAGGCCTGGAGATTTTAAAAATTTAAAATTTTTTCCAAAAAGCTTTATTGTTATACAAATATAAGTATTATTTTTTTTTTCCCTTTTAACATACATTTAAAAATTTAAAGAAATTTCTTTGGGGAAAATTTTTATTTAATAAGGTTTCATCTCACTGAGAAAACAAAAAGGCACCTTCACACTCCCTTTCCCATGATAAATATTTCCCTGTCCGACTTTTTTAATATTTTTGTCATTTATTTACGAAAAAACACAATTTTTTAAATAAACAAAATTTAAGGAAAATTAAAATAAAAAGATTGATATTTCCTTTTTAAAAAAGGGGGCAAAACATGAATTAAAAAAATTTTAAAATAATGGTGATTTCGTGGGCGCCATTGTTTTTGCGGTGGACGTTTGAGCACTTTTTCACAAACAATTACTTGGAAAGTGTATAGTATTAGATAGTGTTGAGCTCCGGGTAAATTTATAATTAAATGTATCGTACTTTTTCGTTAAAGTTTTCTCAAAATTTGAAGACTCAAGTTAAGCCTTTGAGCATTTAGCGTAAGAGATTAAAAGAAATTTTTTAGGAAGTCCCGATGTGTGGTTTATGATTAATATCGTTAAAGATATTTGTGAACGGGGGATTCCCTTTTTGGAAAAGTCGCCCGCCAGTGGTCACAACTATGACCCGTAATAACCCCTTTGATAAAAGTAGATTGAATTGTCTGTTTTAAATTAATTAAAAATTAAAAATTGTTTTGCTCTCTATTACTTTTTTTCTTTTTCTGGCATTTCTTTACAGTCATTTATTAATTTTAAAGTCTAAAAATATAGACATAAAAATTTTGGGGCCCCTTTAAAAAAATTTTAAATAAAAAATTTAAATTTAAAAATTTTGAAAAAAATTATGTTCATCTCAGAACATTTTGTGCTAACAGTCTTTAAACCGACATTTTTTACATAAATGAAATTACATTCCCTTAAATAGCACTATTTTAAAAACCCCACGCTTGTTTAGTTTAAGTCTAATTTATTGTT